AAGAGAGAGATTCTTCGATCTAGCGGTCTCCGCTGCACCTGAATCTCGAGCTCACGGGCACTCATCCGAGTACCTGCGGCCAAATGTCGTAAGCGAGCATTCCAAGCTCGGCAGGCAACGAATGAAAGGCACCTGTGATCGCCGGAGCTCATGAACATCGAAGCTCACGCTCTACAGCAATCAAGGTCATACCATCACGCCGGTCGCCAGTCCGGACCATCCTAATTCCCTAATCCAATTAATCTGGAATCGAGGTAGGCGCTTAAATTTGCCGAAGTAAGAACAGTCGTTCGTGGAGGAGTTTGCCAATCTATAGCATCAGTGGAGGAGAAATAAAGCGGACTTCTACGCTGATGATGATCTTCCTCAGGTCAATTCCCGGATAACAACTCCTAACGGGAATGAAGCTGAGTATGGAAGCCCTACACAAAGAAGAGAATTCGTAAAATGCCTCAATGAGGAAATGAATGGCGTTACTTCTTCGGTTAATAAATTATACCTCTCCCCTGAGTCACTGGGGTAGTGGAGGTTAACGACTGTAGCTCGCATCGACTGTGAGTTGGTGCACAGCGGCTCAACACGGTCAGTCCAGCGAAAGTCCTGTTAGGCCACAAAACGGAAACATCATATTATAGTTGCTTAGTCTCGGAATGGGCTAGTCCATAGGTTAGCCTGAGAAGATGGCACGGCCAGCTTCAAAATAACCGTTCCCTGGAGTCCCTGAGGGATACAGATCTCAGGAAAAATATCCTCGAGGCGGCTGCCATGTCCGTCTGCAGGAGCCAGTCATGACATGAAACTTGAACATAGAAAGTGTCCATAGGCAGGCCCTGACCCGCATCGAAAGTCATCCAATCGAAACATGCTGACATAAAAAGATATAAGGGAAGAGGAAAGAAACTATGCCAATAGAGAAGAGTTACTTCTTGAAGATGTAACCTGGAATCACCGAACTGGTTCCTTCATTGCCATGACTCCGCCAACATGGGCCGGTCTCTGGGCAGGCTTTTCTAACCTGGGGCGGTGACCGTCAGGCTCACCATGCGGGGGGGGGGGGAAGGCCAGGAGATGCACAATCATTAGGAACTCATCCTCGCCTTCCGTACGATACTCCTCTATAGTGATGGAGAAGCATGAGCCCAGAAGTTTCAAACGATCAAGAAAATGATGCTATAGAATTAGACGTTACCTCGCGTCAGTCTAACAGGATCCTCATCAGCCAAGTCCATCCTTCAGATGCTCGGAATTTGCATGCGGCTCTGTGGATAACTTTTCCGCCTATCAGCAACGGAGCATCTCGTTGTGCAATCGAAGGTTTTGCCGGGGTAAACAGGTAACGGAATTCGTCGTGCACTATTGCGGCTGTCCGCTGAAATCAATCAAATAGTGGTTCAGGAATAGGCAAACTTGGAAATGCAGAGAAATGAAAAATAAATGTTTGTGTGAACTAACCTTGCCAAAAATCTGCCGTCGTAAGTTCTTCAGGGTCTCCCGCCTGAGGGTCTCTGGCAGCAGAACAAAAGCCCTGTGACTTCTGCATAAGTCGGTCGGGTCTGGCCCTGAGCCCTTTCTATTGATCGAGCACCGTCCTGGA